CGGCCTCCAAGTCTGGACACATCCGACTAACAAATTGGGAGGAGGAAGTGTAACAGATTCTTCACGCTGAGCCAAATGACAATCACGCCTTTTCTGTTTAAATTACCTTTGTAGCAATAAATATGCATTTTGTGCCAAGACCTGTCTGTTGCATTCCAAGGAGGACTATTAGTGTATGCCAAATACGTCGTTGGAAACTTGAGGTTGGCAATGAGAAAATACTGTTTTAGCTTGCTCTGTTCACACGTCATCATTACTATCAAACAAGGGATGAGGGAAGTTCAATTATCTTAATGACTTTTAAGTAGATTCAGTGAACATCTACATTTGACTTGGGATCAGACAGTCAGAACGGTGAAGAAGCAGTTCGAATAGCTGTATGCGCCGCCCAGTCAAATGCAGCGGGTGCCACGCGAACTATTGGCTTCCTGGCTGAAGTCTTACGCACAATGGCAAAATGTGTTGGTATGAGCTGGAATTCCTGCCTAAGCATTGCGTAAAATCCACCAACAGTGGTCATTTATCATTGAGTACGACGTCCTCCCATGGACTGACGCTCTCGCGGGCTGCAATCGGGAGTTCGAGGTCACACAGAAGTGCATTCGCAAACGAATTCCTTAGATATTAAAAGCCCGCAAGTCATTTGATGTTAAACTATGCAATTTGCTTATATCCGTTCATCTGCATAGATTGCCTAGTCCATGATGGATGACATTTTTGGGGCTTCTCCATTTCCATTCCTTGTCAATCAGAGATAGATAGTATATTCTGTGAATCTCTTATTTCTCATCTCGATCGAAGCTGGAGGCCACCATTTGGCTATCGCACAATAGACATACGTTCCATCAGATGTCATCTCCCACAGTTCCGAATCCGTCCTCCTAATTGGATTACGACCTTGAAGGATGTTAGTGACCCGCACTTGTACGAGAACGGACGGCCGAATTAAAGTAAACTGATCAACTTAACTTATGAGGCATCATCTTTTCGTGGCATTTCAAACGTCGTGTATCTTTTCATTTTTGTTTAACAGAATAGATTTCTAGGTACTTTGTCAAAAGAACGTGAACAAATGTGAAACGACATTTTATACACACCAAATTTCCTGTGTTTATGACTTGTGAAATTTTAGGAAAAGTCTCTTCAATTGATCAGGGACATAGATATCGCTGACACCCGGTGCGGACTGTCTTTAACTTAGGCAATTGTGTTTAGAGTTCGGGTGAGTGTACGAATAGGACCCAAACAGCTATCTGCATACAGAAAAACCACTGACAACTCGTAACTACTGGAGATCATATTATTTGGAAGGTTTTTATGAAAATAAACTACAGAGCAGTTGTTATTGCGCAGTCGACTATTAGCCCTGGGTACCTAACCGACGCCATTATTGCTAAAAGTTACATAGTATTTTTATGAAAGGAAACTTCTGTTGATACGCAGAAAACACAAATGAACTCTAGTGGAATTTAGATTGAGATTTGTTGTTTGAGCTGGAATTCCAGTCTAGGAATTGCGTAGAATACACCAACATTGGTCATATAGCATTGGGTAATACGTCCTTCCCGGGAGCGACTCTCCTGTGGAATGTGATCACGAGTTCGAGGTCACACAGAAGTGCACTTACGAAGAAATTTCCTGTATATTAGGGGTCTGTAGGTCATTTGGTGTTTAAGCATGCAATTTTCGTGTGTACTCTTACTCTGCAAGGGGTACATATTTGTGGTTTCCCTATCTTCATTCCTTGTCAGTCAGAGAGAGATATGGAGTATATTTTGTGAATCTCGTACTTCTCATCTTGATCGAAGCTGGAAGCCACCATTTTGCTATCGCACAATTGACCTACATTCCATCAGATGTCATTTCTCACAGTTCCGAATCCGTCCTCCAAACCGGATTAGGACCTTGGAGGATTGCTGATAGAAGCGAACAGGCGAGTCCCAGGTAGCAGTTCAGAAGATGAAGATGCATCTACATCTTCTGAACCTTGGAGGATGTTAGTGACCCGCACTTGTACGGGAGGGGACGGCTGAATTAAAGTAAACTGAACGACTTAACTTATAAAACATCATCTTTTCGTGGCATTTCATACGTCGCGCATTTTTACATTTTTGTTTAACATAATAGATTTCTAGGTACTTTTTCTAATGCGCGTGTACAAATGTGAGACGGCATTTTGTACACATTATATTTTCCATGTTTATGCCTTGTGAAATTTTAGGAAAAGTCTCTTCGATTGATTGGGGACTTAGATATCGCTGACCCCCATTGCGGAAGTATTTAACTTAAGCAATTGTGTTTAGAGTTTGGGTGGGTGTACGAATAGGACCCAAACAGCCATCTGCATACGGAAGACCCGCCGACAACTCGCTACTATTAGAGATCATATTATGTGGGAGGTTTTTATGAGCATAAACTACAGAACAGATGTTATTGAGCAGTCGATTGTGAGACCTGGCTACTTAACTGACTCCATTACAGCTCCAGGTCACATAGTATTTTTATGAAAGGAAATTTCTGCTGATACGCGGAAAACACTGCTTGAGATTGCATCCGCTAATTCTGTCCCAATTTGTATTCACTGCAGTAGAGTGCGTAAATCAAAATTAGCGAAAGTGCTCAAATCCAACGCAAATCAGCTTAAGCGTGTGAGTCAAAACCTCTTATAACCGATAAATGAGGTTCGATTGGTATGCATTTGTCATGTGCAATTTCTGCTTCCTTCTTTAGCCAATTTGCAGTAGACACATGATTGACAGTACATATTGCACATTCTCTACTATTGTGAAATGCAGTTAGTAGTCAGCAACTGATACTTTGTTTCGCTTCGGCAACAGAAACGTCCCACTACTGCGTAGGTTCAACAAGCCTCATTTGAATGCCCACCTGTCTTCATTACTTTTCAAAATTTATAGCCTTATAAATATAGTTGGTCGTATTTGGCAGAGCGAATGGGCAAAGTTCTATTCCGACACCGTGGGTGTACCAATATGACCCAAACAGCTATCTACATGGAGAAGAACCGCAGACAACTCTCCACTAATGGGAATTATATTATTTTGAATGTTTTTGAGCATAGACTACCGCAGCTCTGCCTTTAGGCAGTCAATAATGAGCCCGGAGAACTTAACTGACTTCACTGCAACCAAATTTACGTAATTTTGTGAAAGGAAACTTCTGTTGAATCAATGAATACACGCTGTTTGCGATTGCACTTGCTAATTCCAATCCAAGTTTTAGTAACTGACCGATATTTCGAAATGTCAGATTATCAAAATGTTTAATCTGACGACGTTCCCACAAATGAACTCTAGCAGAATTTAAATTGAGATTTGTAAATTCGGCACTTCCCTATTTTCTTAAGAAATTTGTTTTTCTATCCAACACAATATTTCTTTCAATACTTCTTTCGAGTCCGCATTTAAGTGTGGTCATTTCATTGTTAAGCTGGAGTTTTACTCTATGCATTTGGCCTGAGTTCCGACTTACATGAGATATTTTGCCAACTTTGGCATATTGCCTTATGTGATCAGCCTACTGTAAATTGCGTTAATTGCAGTATAGTGTGTAAGGCAGGAAATAGGTCAAAATTAGCAAATACTCACAAGTCCAACGGAAATCAGCTTACATTTGAGTGTCAAAACTTCTTATCCATGATGGACTTCCGATAATGATTCGTGTGTCAAGTGCAAGTTTTTCTTCCTTCTTTGGCCACTTTGCAATATGTGCATTAATGGCCATTAGTTGGATCTTACATACTCTCTACTTGCGTGGCATGCAATTAGTAGACAACAACTGATGCTTTGTTTCGCTTCGGCAACAGAAATGTCCTACCAGTGTGGAAGCTCAATAAAGCTCATTTGAATGTATCGATCGGATTTCGAGATTTATACGCTTTCATTTTTGATTTAATTTGGTAGAGAGATAGGGTAAGGTTTACTTCCAACATCAAAATACTTGCCAGAAAAATTATTCTCCCACTAAGTTTGTCCAAATAATGTACTAAATTGCAAAGGTGCTATCATAATTCATTGAGTCCATTTCTTGAGGTAAAATGGCGCATAAACTGTGGCAATTATTTGTGACGGATCATGGTGTAATCTTCGTTTTGATGTCATTGCCTTGTTTTCCTCAATACACCACGACTTGGTAATTAAAAGCATGGGCCAAGGCTTACGCGACGCCCTGGGAATTACTGTCAATTCTACAACAACTATGGCCAATAGACTGAGGGAGCTCCACCGGGTTGCACGATATCAGGACTGCTCGCTGAATTAGTCTTGCAGAGAGTAGAAGATGACGTTTTATTCAAACTTTTCATCCTAAAAATGTGTCTTCGTTCCGCAAACGACGTCTTTATTACAAATGGCTTCACTGATGTGCACAATAAATAACCCATCAACTGCACGGCATAATGTTAACATGCATAGTCTGGCTGGCAAACCCTTTCCCAAGGCTCACACCTTCTGTGTAATTGTCGATATAGGCTGATAACTTTGAGTTAGATTTCAAATAAAAATGGATTGAAAAGATAAAACTTCGACTTGCTGAGTGTGGTTATCTGACTTGCTCAATTCTGGACTTCGTCTACGTGATTGAAAATCAACTACAACGACGATAGAAACGGTAACTTACGTAACATCACAGATTAACTGCGCCACATTTTGGTAAAATCCCCGAAGCGTTGAGTGAAATCAAGCGGCGCACGTGTGTCGGTTGGAATAACCGTGACCTTAAACATTAATTACCATCCCTCAAGGAGACGATGTGACCTTAACAAGGACACACCGATTGGTGTACATGTGACTGTGCAATCTACTCTTCCATTGGCAGTATTGCTGCGGGCAAGGCGATATAAAAGAGGGTGTGCTAGAGACTTAAGCATGTTATTGCCAACTCCTGAAACACCTTCTGCCTGCAAGTCACGCTCATCATGGTTAGGCATCACCCTCTGCGTCAGGACGAAACTCTGACATATCCGGTCCTTAATGGTCAGAGGTATGTCTGCGATGGCACCCACTGCATGCGTCTTCCGACAAAATATGAAAGTGAGTGATACTGTTGTACAGCATTTTATCGTCCGCCGCAAGCGATTGCCCTTTAAATTTTCATTTGAAAATGAATGTGCTTGTTTTTGCTTTTTTAGTGTACCTGGCAAGGGAGCGATCGAAGTCTCGGAGGGTGCGGTCGCCAACAAGACGTCAGTTATAATTAATTGGAAATCGCCGATGGCCATTAACGACAATCACCCACCTCCTTCCAGCCTGCCGTTCGTCCAGCGTTTATTCAAGGGGTTATTTTTTTTTCAAGAAGCCTCCATTGTACTTTATCATCCTAACTTTATTTTTGAATATAAAGAACATCTCCAACTGACTCCTAGTCATTTTTTGCCTTTAATTTTGGGGAAGACAATGCGTATTTTAAGATTCCAGTCAATAGCTTTGGCGAAATGCGTAAGTATGAAGTTTTATTCGACCAATGGAAGGTGAAGTTGTTGGGTGGTTTTCGTGTTTGGATGTGCCTTGTGCGACATAGTTTCAGATCGCCTTTGGTTAAGTAGGGGTGACTGGGAGGACTCGACTGCCAACTTGCTTGCAGACCTCCGACCTTGGCCATGACTTTCGCGCTGAATGCGGGTTACTGTGAAATAAATCGCGCACCAATCACCTCGCCTGCTCTCATCTTGCGGTGCAGCACACGGTGGACATGTTCCATCACGACGATCGAACTGTCATGCCACAACGAATTAATATTTACACAAATCGCACATTGAAACAGGCAGCCAGTAGATTACAAACATGTGTTTATTTGCCGTACTTACAAAACAGGAACTAGCCAAAAGCTCCGACACGCGTGGTTCGCCGATCTTGTACCGCTGCCTGTCTAAGGTCTTATCTTGCTCTGCCATATGGCGACGTAAGTGCGCGCGGTTATTAAAGAATAAGCAAAAGGCGATGTTCAAAAATAAACAAAATTTGAATTAACCACCGCCGATAGGTTTTCATTCACTGGGGAATTCAGGAAATGTTAACGGTAGGGCTTAGGACCTCATGTAGCTTTCGTAGTTGGGACCTACATCCTACCTCCGCCCTCCATCAGTAATAAAACAGTTCCGCTTGGATCTATAACGTCGTGCAAAGAGTCCTCGTATGGAATCTTGCCGACCGGCGAGCCAAGTTAGTCTCCTCGGACGAAGAGTCAGGCCAAATTGATTCCTCCACATAGTGGTATTCATAGAACTCTTACGTACATGAGATCCGTCCACATGGGGAATGTTAAGGCACGCCTAGGCGCAGACGTCAAGTCGCGCCAATCATTCAGTCCAGTACTATCAAACAGTTGCCTGACAGCCTTGCGCAGTCGACTGGTTCTCGGATGATGAGAGAGAGAGATTGTGACTCAAATTGTGGAATTCTTTCTCAAATCCCATCAACGTTTGAATCTATCGCGATATGCCAAGAGTCGTTGCATGGAGAGTTACCAAATGGCAGGATAATTCGGCCCTCCCCCCACGACCGATAGTAAGGCTTCAATGGCTTTTTCCTATTACGGTTTTGGGGCCACTATCGCATAAGCGAGATCGAAGCTGTCCTCTTTGCCGGGAATAAGCCATGGTTGGCACGCGTAGATGAGCTGTTTAGCCACTGCGCCCGAACCGATCTCCGACTGTCCTGACTCTGTTTATCCACCAACCTCGGATAGGTAGAGGAGGAGGAGGAGGAGGAGGAGGAGGAGGAGGAGGAGGAGGAGGAGAGAGGATATCAGACGCCTTCTCATCCAGAATGCATTCAGCATGCAGACCAAAAGACAGAGTAGTGTGCTTACACGCAGCCACATGGCAGTTTATTAAATGCTATCGGAGTAGTCACGCACCTATCTTTGCCCAATATTCTAAATGAGCATTCAGCGTATTTGCGCTGTCATCTGCAAAGTAACAGATGGCTTTTGGAAAGAATAAGCGAGATTGTCACTTATTATAAAGCATGATATACATTACTGAAATTTAATGAGATAATTTTAGTTATCACTGGGTACCCCAAGCGGGCGGCGCCATTCATGAAACTACGCTCAAGACAGGGCTACTACGAAAGTGTATGCGAAAGGCTACACAAATGTGTCATCCACTACAAACGGTATCTTCAAAAGTTCTCTACAACGGATCTTGATGACAATTGAAGGACTTGTGAGGAGACGGGGTCAGTCAGAATCCGCTGCATCCGTAACCGAGCAAAATGGGAACGAATGATCCGAATGCTCGAAAGCCCTCAACACATTCCGCTACAGGATAAACCAAATTTGTAAGATGCCTGCCGGGAAAGAAACAGTGCATTTTAAAAATATTCCAATTTGATCATAAAGCTGAGGAATTCAGCCTTACAGTCCATCTTGCGGGCCCATGCGAGGTGCAGCAAACCTGCTCAGTTGTCGGCTTGTGGCGAATGAGGCAGAATTGGAAAATTATATTCCACAGAACAGCGTAGGCTAGCTCAGCTGAGCACTTTCACACCCAGTGGTGTGAATCAAATTCGCGAAATACTAAGCACTTCTGCAGTGCGAGCAGCTAATTGATTTACTACGTAGCAATAAACTTGAGCTATTTCACAGTAACAACGCGTCAAGATTCCCTCCTCAAATTTGTTTACTTAGGATGTGCGTTACGGCACAGATTTTCTTGAACGAAAGTGAATATCGAGTATGAAGGTGGAGCTGTTGCCACTACTTATACCTGTCGCCTTGAGAGAAACAACCCAAGCTCAGTTTTTGCTGCATGTGAACAATGTCCGTGTTCTGTCCCATGACGTTTCGCTGTACATTCGGCTATCGCATAACTCTTCGTAACAACGCATCCAAACCTCCTCCTCAAATTTGCTTCCTCGGGAAGTGCGTTACGGCAGAGATTTTACTTAAACGAAGGTGATTGTCGAGTATTAAAGTGGAGCTGCTACGACTACTAAACCTGCATACGCGGATGGAAAAGACAAGTATTCATGTGTAATTTCGGTTTGCAAATTGCATGTTACTACTTTCCACCGAGTCAATGTATGATATCATCCAGCAGGTAAGCAGTCAGCAACATAATACGCCTGTGATATTGCAGTAGGTGTGGATGCTATTGCGTTGCCGCTGACGTTATGACGCACTGCCAGTCGTCATCGTAAGATAATTAATTGACGCATTTCAATCAGCCCTGAGACTGACGTCAACAGGCGAATCCAGTCTAGTCTAGCCTCCATATATCCCAGCGCAAGCTCAGCAAGTGACACCGGAAGTTGAGCAATAGAGACAGAGCTCAAATTAGTGGAAAGGGATGATTTCTAAATTTAGTTAAGCAGAGGATAAGGGAATGATGAATAGGGAGATAAGGCAGAGGTCGTATCTCCATCCTCGTTCCAATAAGTAAATTCAGTCGGCCTGAGAGAGATGGCAAAGCAGTCGGCAGTTGACTGAAGTTATTTCATGTTAGCGGATCGCAACTTGGAAATGTCCTCCGATGGTCTGGTTAACGTGAGTGGGTAATTCGCGCCTTTCGTATCCTAACGTTCGACTGACAAATCTAGTGAATGAATCACCATACTGACAGCATAAGTGGATCCATAGATGTTTTGGAAGATTTTTGAATAATATATTTGACCTGACTATGAAGTACTCGGCGCCCCGCTGGGATTGGAACTCACTTACGTCGTCCGGTGTGGCCTCGAGTTCAAGTGGTTAGTGTTTGGCTGTACTTAGGCCTTCCCTTTACTCGTGAGTTCGAATCCCACCACGGCGACGAGTTTTTCACAGTTGAGTCAATATGAATAAGTGGATTTCTTACTACCACTGACTGCCAGCTGCCAGTTTGGGAATATGATGCAATTATTCCAGAATGGCTGATTAATTTCGGTTCAGGTATGCGCGTTAACTTTCGCACATAGTTTTAAGAAGTTTTTTCTGCCATATTTACAACATAGTTGCGCATTAATTTATTCGGAAATCAAAGGGGGCAGTATTGCCTGCTTTGCTTGCCTTTATAGCAGTGCTCAAACGTTTACGAACGGGAATAACCATACTTGAATTAACGGCTGTTCATTACTGATAGTCACCAGTCAATAGCAATCTCAACACGCGCAGGAAAACAATCCGGAAAAAAACATGATCGCTTCAAAATTGCAGTATCCGGCCTACCCCAGTTGATGCCGAACGAAATATTGTAGTGTGTTTTCGATCGGAAAGGATTACTTAAGTAGAGTTATAATATTCTTCATAGCGTAGCATAATTTCAAGCTATTTCAGTCATACCAGGATGTAGGTTTTTAATGAGCTTCTGTCCGGATGCTTGCAAAAAGCACTCTCGATAAAAACGACTGCCAGAGGAATCCGAATTTTTCCACTGACCTTTGATACACATCTGATAGTAAAATACATGCGCCAATATTCATTCTTGTACCCATTTGGTAGCAAACTGCGTCCTTTTCAACTTTTATAATCGAACGAAGGGTATCTTTAGGTATCAATGAGGATTTTCCAAAACCGTAAACTCTCCATTCAGATAGCATTGTGTTTGCTCTTTTATTGATTCTTCTTAAAAAGTATGCGATCTGGACCACTTCCGCGACACAGTTTCGCGATTATCTCACGGTTCCTTTTTAATGAGGCGAAAAAATGTACCAAATGCAACTGCCGGTCATGTTCAAAATTATTCGAAAATCGAATTGGCATTTTAGAACCAAACAGTGCCATTTATCCGACAAAATATTTGAGTATGACGTACGTTGCCCACAAGCGAATAGAAGCAAAATATTTATGCGTATGGTTTCTATTAATTATATTTGACTTGTTGGGGACATTAGAAACTTATAGGGAAAATTCAGACTGCTTACGCAATCATTTTACTCAGTGCGGCATATACGGTCGGCCGGAGAGAAAGTCGTTTAGAAGTCAGAATCCTAGCCAGACTGAAATTTCTTGGGAGTAGGCTTCCTGATAATCAATATCAGAAGCCCACATTTTTCTAATGCGAAACAGACTTAAGAGTTTCAGTCAGAGTTTGGTAAGATAGGCTCGCCCGTACGCAAGTACAAGTTCAACCTCGTAATTGGAAAGAAACTATCAATATGGGAGTGTTCAGTAACAACCAAGTAGTCGCTGTCCAGCACGTCGTTAAAGATATTGATAGTGTACAACAGTATTTAACTCTAACCGAACCTAAAAAAAGATTACGTCGCTGATTAAAGTTCATATCAATGGGCGTCCGCTGTTTTTTGCCAAACCGGCCAGGATTGGCATCGAAATCGGTATACATAGTGATGCACTTCTCGTATGACTGCATCGCCTCTAGGAACTCGCGGTCATTACTCCTTTCATTACAAATGGCACATGGACACTCATAGACTGCATCTTTCCGTATATAATCCTGTCTCTAATGATGGATTCGAGTGCGAATCAGAGGGTTCACCTGAATAAACCAGTTGTTTCAGCGATTGCGTCTTCCTCTGCACAAAGGTAGCTGCATCCGTAAGGCATACTAGTTGGGGACGCAAAGTTTCTGTAGGTCTCTGCGCAGCCTGCGCGTGATGCACCGTTGACTACCCTGTGACGAGATTGGATACATTTTCTGCACAATGGGACACTCGCCAGTCCGTCGGGTTTTGCCCTGTCGTAGGAAATATTTCTTCCGTTCGAAATTTCTCCACAGACGTATCAATGCACAAGGTTAAAAAAACATCGGCTAGATCGTAGTTGGTAGCCAGGAATGGGGAAGCTGACGGCAACCTTAACCCTAATCCTAGCCTTAACCTAATCCTATCCTCAAACTTCAACGTTAACCTTTAATCTTAACGGCAACACTAAACCTAACCTAAATCGTAAATGTAACCATAGCCCTTAGGCATAGTTGTAAATGAAAAACCTAACCGTAATACTGAGACCTAATCGTACGCTCAAACCCTAACGGTAACCCGAAAACCTAAGCCTAAAGGGATAACTCTAACCCGAAAATCGGAAACCAATAACCGGTACCTTAATCCTAACCTCAAACGTAAAATGGAAGACAAATGGGTCAGATGTGATTATGGAGCCCCACAAAATAGCCCCAGTAAGCAAACCCCCCCCCCCCCCACCTGTAATACGGGTCTTGGCTACCAACTGCCATCTAGCCAAAACATCCTTATTCAGATAATAATTTATATAAATAGGGGAATCGGGGGCCCTTTACCACAGTCTTCCAAGGATCTTATTCTCCCGTTCAACCAAGAATTCTAAAGGGCAATTTATTATCTTTCGATAAATGCATTCCTCGGTGCAGTGGAGGACTTTACGCTGCCCGCACGTGATGCACCGCTGATACCCTGTGACGAGCTTGGATGCATTTTCTGCATAATGGAACACTCGTCAGTCCGTTGGATTTGGCCGTGTCTGAAGAGATAACATTTTCCCTCGACTGTTGTATATGGACTTATCGATGCACAAGGTTAAAGAACACCCTTATTCAGAAAATAATTTGGAAAAACAGGGGAATCGCAGACCGTTTAGCATAGTCTTCCTGAGTCCGAATTCTCCCGTCCAACCAAGAATTCTAAAGGACAATTTATCATCTTCCGATAAATGCAGTCATCGAAACAATTGAGTTTGGCACGACTTAGTAAGTTGCGAGTATGATGATACTCAATTTGCTAAGTCAGGTTATTTTAGGATAAATCTTTGCGGTACACTGAATTCCTTCTACATACGAGAACATCAGCGAATAGGAGTTATCCCATAAAGTTCCATTTCGGAAGCGAATTGAAATCCCGGAAAAATGAAGCCAACAAAATTACCATCTACTCAGTACGACCACA